CCCCAAAACCCCAAAACCCCAAAACCCCAAAACCCCAAAGAAAGTGACACAGGTTGAATTTTAAATTATTTTAGCATAAATGAAACAAAGTCTTCCTTGCTAAACTTTTTGTCTTTGGAAGAGATCATCTTTAGTATCTTCTTCTGAGCTTTTATTATGTGCTTCTTGTCCTTTTCGGGGTAAAGAACTTCAAGGCGACCATTGAAAATAGTTTTGAGAGCACTTTTGTTAAGTTTAGATTTTCCTTGGCAAATGGAGTCAAAAATTTTAGTTCAAAATTTTTCATTTGGTTCCAAAAAGTAATCTAAAGCAAGATAATCCTGAATGAAAGTGATTGAGTCATAGCTTTCTTTTGCAGCAAGAAAGCCTATTATTGTATCTTTGGTCTAAATTTTGAGAAATTTAAGGCTTACATCATCATCGATTGTTTCACATTCAATAACTTTCTTTCCAAAGTAAGTCAGGATTATGTTTTTATCAACATTCTCCTGCTTTTCTCCAACTCTGAGGAACCTCTTCTGTATCTTCTCTATCTTCGAATCAGAAGCAAGAGTGGTGGCTCAGGTAGCGTAAATAATCAGCTTTGCGTGAACTCTGTACTCAGTGCTAGACCGAGATGGCTGCTTGTCTTCAGATATGTCACTTGGATCGATACTTTCATCAGCACTTGGCTCTATAATTTGCTCTATACTTGATTCATCACTTTTGGCTTGGGTTAATTTCTGATATCTTTCTTTTATCCCTGTATTTGCCTTCTTAATCGGGTCTTTCTCCGAAACAAGGATGCTGTCTTCACTAGATTTCTTATAATCCAAATTAATAGCCTTTAGTTCCTTTAATGGATCTGTCTCATTTCCTGAGACTATCGGATCTTCATAGATGTTAGATATTGATCTTTGATCTCTCTCTTGAGTCTATATTTGATAATAAACTGCTAACCTTGTCATTATATATGATCTTCTTACTACTATGTTTGGTAGATTTGCTGAGTGTTGTGTCTTCATAGTCTTTCATCTCTTCAACTTTTTCATAAAGGCCTGGGTCTCCCTTCATTAATAACTCTTTAACAAAATCGTTCATTTCTAAATTCCTGTCTTCAATATCCATTCTATCTATCGTATCATTCCTGGCATGATTTGGCGCAATTTGGGCTTTCTGATGATTTTTATTCTTTCTTGAATCAATCTGGTCTGTTTGGGTTGATGACTTCTCATGATAATTTCTGGCAAGCTCTTCTTCTGTCTCACTCTCAGAATCAGAGTCAGAATATATATCAGAATGTTGGTCATCATGATCTTCACTGATGCCTTCACCAGAGTGTTTATCACGAATCTGATCAGCTCCTTTAAGATCTATGTGAGAATTTTGATGTTCTCTTTTTGAACTTTTTTGGCCCTGTTTTTGTTTGAATAGAGGCTCCTTATCGCTGTCTGGCTCATCATAGATCTTCCTAACTGAGGTATCATGTGCTGTGCTTTTGCTTTGTGCTGTTTTTGATTTAGATTCTAAAATTAGGATAGTTAAATTACTCTTTATTCCTTTGGGAACTTCCTGTTTAATCCTTGAGGAATATTGATGAGATAAATTATTTGATCTCCTCTTTTAGCTTTTTAGCAGAGATTCTTTTAGATGCGTCAAAGACAAGCATCTTGCTAATGAGGTCCAAAATTTCTTGAGGTGATTCTAGGAAAAGAGTGTTGTCAAAATTTAAGAAATTCCTAAAGGTTTGATGTATTATGATTACTCTTCATGACTTCTCATCTCAAGTTTGATTGCATAATCGTTGAAGTCGAGGTGGACAAGGTTCTCAAAAGGATGTTCTCTTGATAACATCTGGTAGAAAATGATCCCTGCTGACCAGATATCAGATGTATTAGAAGGCCCACTAAAGTTAACAGACTTCTTACCCTTTTGCTAATTCTGGGGCATAGTATAGCTTAGATGATGAATCATTGACCCTATAAAATTTTAAATCAGATAAGACTATTGTTACTCTTCTAAGTCAAATTTCTTCCTGACTTCTGTATATATATTCATCGTTGAGTAATAGTCTTCACCAGCGTTGATTTCTTCAAATTTCTTATCAAAATTATGATTCTCAGCAAGTATTCAAGCTGACTCAAATCCTGTTATTTTTAACGAGTTCCAGTTCTTCTCTTCTTGGAAAATAATGTTAGAAGGTCTTAAGTTCCCATGGAAGATCTTGTACTTATGCATAATTTTCAGAATCTTCGAAATTTGTTTCATAGTTACCAAAGCGATAACGAATGAAATTGGATGAATAGTCTTATCCTGTGCAGCTATCATCTCTGTAAGAAGGGTATTCTTACTCCTTGGCTCTTCAATAATCACCAGTTCGTTTAAGTAGTGATCCTTGATCTCAAGAATCTGAGGGTGTGGAGATATCACAGAAGTGAATATAAAGTCTTTATGAAATAGACTTTGTTTATTTTGGTGCCTATAAACAGTAAAATTTTCACTCTCTCTTAATTCTTACTTCTTATCGAAAAACTTTGCTAAATGCTGATCCCCGTTACCATCAATGACCCAAATATAAGAAAAGGGATATTGATCTTCAAACTTCTTCTTGATCTTGTAAAACCGATGGAAGGGACTGATTTTGCCAACCTCCACCGTATCCCTATATTTAATTTTCTTTCGTATTATTTCCTTTTCGTCGCCTATCAGGTATTTAATCTCAGATCTAGCCTTATCAGAGTTTTTACCTCCCTAAACGTTACTCCATCGGTTTACAAATCCTATCCGTTCACTACAGCAATTGCTATTACCCATTATAACCTCTTTAAATTAAATATTAGTTTATTCTACATTTTTGTTAATAAGAGGGGTTTTGGGGTTTTGGGGTTTTGGGGTTTTGGGGTTTTGGGGTTTTGGGG